CAGTAAGACACCATCACAAATAACTGGCTATCATGCAGTTAAAATAGCATCAGCAAGACAGCTACCTTGCGGCTTTCACTGCCCTGCGTCATAAACAGCCAGTGTCCGAGAGATAAAGCAGTACAAAACACACTTTAAACAGGCAGCCCGACTAGGAGATGGCAGCAGACGCACCACTGGTGCCGATTGCGAGCAATGTCTTGTAAAGTCTCGAACCCAGCTCAAGACGCTTCCTGCGGACTCCGTCCTTTAAAGCGAGACGGATAGACGGCACCCAGTTTGATCCTCAGTGCCTTCATTTTCCGCTGCCGTGTTAACTCTTGTCCACCTCGAGCCTTGCACCGCCCTACATCTGGCAACCAAAAAAGGTCCTCCTCGGTAACCGGTGACGAGGCATACGTATTACGCGTCCAAGCCAACGCACCTTATGCATTGCTATCTGTTGTTCTAAGAAACTATACTGATGATCACTTACTAACACTCGCCTACTCACCTCATCTTGGGAAGACGCTGGCACCATCCGACACCAGCAATGCTTCGCAGACGATGATCAAAGACTTGAAGGCGCCTCAGCTCTTCAGACCGAAGGGACAAAGTCTCACTCCCATACACTAGTACGATCCTCATTGTGGCCTTGTAAACACGGCCTTTTAGACGGGGTCAAACCCATTTCTGTCGCCAAAGATGTCGCTGGTTCAACAATGCAGTTCTGACTTTTGCAAAATGTGAACTGACTGCAGTGGTTATGTGCCCATCGTTGCTACTTCAGCTGCCAAGGTAAGTGAATTGATTAGCTACCTCGAGTTCCTCGCGATCAAGGGTCAAGGGGTCATCAAGCGACTAGTGGTCCTGCAACAATACTTTGCGCTTTAAAGGTGCGAAGCGCATACCAGTTGATGGGACCACACTATAGAGGCTACTCTGGGTTGATTGCGCCTCCCCAACATCGCTACACAGCAAGATGATATCGTCCGCTTTACCAAGATCAACAAGCCTTCCACCAGGCAGCGGCTCAACGTCTGCATCGTGAGATTCCGCAAGGGAACACTTCATGCTGGAGTCCACGAAGATAGTAAACAAAATGGGGAAACTGCACAACCCTGACGAACGCCACTAGTTGTCGAAAAGCTATCCGACAGGTCACCATATTCCCTGGCTCTGTCTGTAGCGTTCGAGTTACTGAGCATGAAATTGTTCATATATTTCATGGGAACGCCTTTCCGCCGAAATATTTGGAACAGAATGCATCGATCGATTGAATCGAACGCACTCTTGAAATCGAGGAACTCAACTATTTTAGGTCTTCGGTATCCGTGGTGCTGCTCTACTGTCTGCCACAAAGTGAATATGTGTTCTATACAGCCACATGCTGGGCGGAAATCTGCCCACTATTCCCTATTCCTGGTTTACCGTTCCTCAGTGAAGTGATGAGCAAACATCGAAGTCAGTACTTTTGTCCCAACTTGCGTTAGGCCAATACCAGTGTGATTAGCACATTCTATGTGACTGTCATTCTTGTATATTGCCACTATGCTCGATTAACTCCAGTTAGCTGGGACGGTTTCCTCCTTCTATACATGTTCGAACAGGGAGGTTAGTAATTTGCAGATGACCTCACTTCCGTCCTTAAATACTGCAGGTGGGGGTACCCGGGTCAATGGCACGAAAACGATTGAGGGCTGTGATCGCGTTTCGAACCTCAACCTCCGATGAAGGCTCAAAACTAATCGTCTATGGCTCATCCTGCATCACCTGAGTAGGAAGAGGTCCGGAAGCAGGGAGGCCAGTGAACTGATCTTTCAAAATTTAAGGAAGTCCATTAGCTAGTCAAAAGGCAGTGTTACTGAACATATATTTTTGATAATACTTCAGGCCATTAAAATTATATACTTTTATCCCCACCTTTATTTGGTTTAATGGTCTAGCCTCAACACACCGAATTATCCGATCTCGACTGAACGGTCTTCTGCTTTCTGACCTCTCACAAGCAGAGATATAAATGATCGGTCCCTGCGGACCCAACACTCTGTAACTCTCCTCTCAGTAGCCTTGCTGGTAATGCTCACCCTTATTATTATATCCGCTTTCATTCCTGACATGTTTGTTGCTGCCGACGCTCTCTGTTCTTGTTCCGACCTAAATAGTACGGTTTAAGCAAAATGAGGCGATATTCTAGTCTCAATGGTCTCCAGCTTTTCGACTATTGAGACCTAACTGATCAAGATTCGACAGACCAAACGATCTGTTCACATTACCTCGCATGCGCTGGCTCGGGCATGTTCTGCGCATGCCAGCCCATCGCCTTCCACGTCGAGCGCTATTTGCACTCCCAGGGAGCGATTGGAAAAAGTGCCGCGGTGGACAGCCGATGACGTGGAGAAGGAGTATGAAGAAGGCGACCTCAAGTTTGGCAGCAGTCGGACCAGTCCGCCTTCCAGGTTGGGGACCACGAGATGCTGAATTGCAGTGGTTGGAAACATTGGACGTCATGGCCCGCAACAGACATCAGTGGCGGCAATGTGGTTCCGCAATTTCACCATCCCTTTGATACACACAAAAACTCACAAAACAAAACAAAAAATACAAAATGGCGTTTGTAAAACCAAAAAAAATTCGTTTCCCATATTTTTAATCGCATTAGTGTCCCCATCTTCTTCACCTTTTTCTTCTGCCATGGTTCTGATGGCACAATGTCTGTTAACAGACTGTGAATAAATATAATATATATACCTCGAGAACGTCGTTGGCTTTTCCACTTCTCAATAAAGCCTTCTCTTTCCCTACCCTATGATTCCCTTTCCGCGCCTCTGTTTACATTCATTCTTCAGTTGGACGGATAGCTCTTTGTATCCTTATCTAGTCTCATCCGACCAGCCTCCTGCTCTCTGACTGCTTCCAGATATCAGAGACGTAAAGATTCTAGTTTCTGCAGACCCATCACTTTGTTACTCTCCTCTTGAGAGCCTTGTTTGATTTGTTGTTCCCCTATCGTAGCATCACATTCATCCCGAACTTTTCCATTTCTGGTGCAACACTACTTTTATTCCCACCGTGTTTGCGCGTCCTGACCCCAACGCGCTGAATTACCCGTCTCGTCTGAATAGTCTCCTGCTTTCTGACCTCTCCCACACTGAGATGTAAATGATTTGGGCCCTGCCGACCCAACACTATAACCCTCCTCTCAGAAGCATTGCAGGTAGTGTTTATCCTTATTATCATATCCACTTTCATTCCTGACGTCTGTTGCTGCCGACGCTCTCAGTTGTTATTCCGATCTTAATGTAATGGAAAGGCCAAACTAAAAGGGCTTAACTACATAAAAGAACTCCCAGTCTGTAAAGTAAGACTGCTGGACCTGACCTTAGTTAAAGCACGATCCTCGGTAGGCCGCCAGTCGCACAATCCGGTCGGGAGATGAAAGTTAGTCAGCACAATAATTCGACGCTTTAGATCCGATGATCGATGAACGAGGCTAGCAGACGGACGACGATCAATTGCACAACACGCGTAGCCGAAACCAGAAGGCGAATCAAAACCCGAAAAGTCTTATCGGTTGTTGGCCATTTAAAACAAGACTGACAATAACTAATGGAAATAGGGATGTACAATTAGGAAGAGATATGTACAATCACTACAGAACTCCCCCTAGAGTGTGAGTCACTATGACGAATGCTCGATACTTGTTTCCGATACGCAACGCACGTCGATACCTAGTATGGCTGACGTACGTGCGAGTGTAGCCTGTTGACCTATTTGTCTTAGAGTTGGAACGGTGAATGTCGCCAGGGAAACGGGACAGCGTGGCCTTATAGCGGACTGTTGCTGACTAGTGTCCAGTGGGTGTTGTTGGAGGGTTACCGCGGATGGTATGACTTTAGTAGCAGTACGGTTGCAGTCACTTAAGCTTGGAATTATAGGAGGGTTAGTAATAGGGTTTGGGAGAGGAGCAAGAGGGACAGGTAGAAAAGCAAGAAAGGAAACGCTACCAGTAGCATGTTTTCGCTTGTCCACTCTGCTGTATGCAGCAGCGATGGCGACTTGCTAATCTGTGCAACAACCGATGCAGGATTTGGTTGTACTTTGAAGGAAGTCGTGATTATATCTGCGCTGGGATACTGCCAGGGCCTTTAGACCTAGACAAGGGGACAACTAAAGTCCTCAAGCAAAACAAAAGCGCAAAAGCTTGTCTGCAAGGCAGCGGTGAGGTTACAGTGATTTAGTTTTACAAAAGGTACGCCATCCCATTTTAAACCCCAAACCTGGTTGACCAGGAGACTACGTTTGTCCATTGGGCAACCTGGTAGGAGAAGCTCTCCAATTGGCCGGGGCCACTACCCAGTATAGCTCAATGGGTCAAAGAACTACGCAAATCGTCGCACTACGTTAAGGTCTAGTCTCGTCACGACGCTTGGGATCATGGTGGCATCATTTGTATCCGCCACACAAAACGCTACGATTGTAGCATCGTTTAGCGCGCCTTGCGTGTGTTCTGCAATTTCACCTTGGTACTTTTGTGATTCTATTTTCTACTCTGGATTTGTTTAGAATTAGTTGGCCCAGGCTTCACTGAGGCTAAATCACATGTATCCCTCAGCTGTGATGCGTTTAATAAGTGTTTGTCTTGTGTTCCCCTCCTGATTTGCTATTTCATGTGGTTGAACTTTAATTTGTACATTGGTGGATTTCGATTGCCGGTTTCCATAAGAGATATTCTACCACTCCGGTTTACTAGTTGTAATAGTTATGCGATGAGTTGATCGTAAATCTCGCTGTCTTATTAAGTGGCGAAGACTGAGATAATGCTTGGTTTCCAGGCCGTTGTCTCTATGAATGTTTTTAACTGAACGAAGGGTGTTTACTTGCTTCATATCCGACGGAATCCCGATCGCTCTGAAACTGATGTCTGGTGAGAATTCTAGTCGCGTCCATCGCCGTAAAGTATGTAGTGACATAATATCTTTCCTTTTCCCTCATTCATTTTCTACCGGAACTCTTTTTTAGATAAACATTTCCGGAGCTTCTGCTCCGTTCGGGTCTGCAGATGACAACAACTGGAACTTCTTCAGAGACCGAGGGTGGAGAAGAAGAAGATTCTGAATCCTCTTCTCATCGTTCCATAGAGAACGGTCTACGTTCTATTCTACATGATAGAAGAAAGAGCTCGCTTAACATCTATCAGACGCCGAAACAGAAAAGCGGCCAGACTAAACGTAAGAGTGACGTTAATTACTGCCCTCTACTTTTCTTCATCCCGGTGATTTTATTCGGGACCTATACGCCTTTTCTCCATTATATATGTACTGATCTCTTGTTTATTGTTGCTCGTCTAGCCTGAGTCATCCATCACGTGTTTTTCCGCTCAGTGGTTATCACTTCCTCAACTTTGAGTCAAACTTCTCGTTCGGCATCCAGTCGCTCGCAAGTTCTTTGTTTTTCTCCGTTAATTATTCGTTTGCATTGTATTTAGTTAAGCTGTAACATTTCAACGACATTTCGAAGCTTTCCACTACTATTGTTTGGGCAGGTTTCTATCGGAGAGCTCTTCTCTCTGTTCACCATGTGCGCGGTTATTCATTCATCCGGTTATTTATCTCCGCACCCTTACATATTGACAAAATAGCTATGGAAAGCTGTTATTGCTAGTTTATCCAAAGGTATTCAACCAGGTAACCGACTGATTATGGAGTTAACAGTATTCTTGGGTGTGAATGCGGCATCTTGGTGCACTCTCCTGAGGGAACCAAACGTTTGTTTTCTTTTACTCTTCGTATCATCAGAGATCAATTTAGTACTCGTGTGCTGAGCTGACGCGACTCCATTTCTATTTTTCATCGAGGTAACACTCCAAGCCTTCTTCTACAACTGTTGCATGTGTAGAACATTTGGTCCCCTTCATTCACTTCGTCAAAGCAGAAAGAAACCATAGATTGCGATATGTCAACATTCCGATTGTTCTCATCAGTCGCAAACACAATACAAGCAGAAACACAGACACAAACATATACATTGGAAAAAATTGGCACGCCAATTAAACTGTCAAAATCAAGACAAAGGCAATCTGATTTATTGCCTCAAGAGTTTCTGTGCACATAACACAGGTTGATAAGCACTAATTAGCAACGTTTCACTGCTTTTACGAGACCGCGCTTGTATGCAACTGGGGCTTCACTGATTGCCAACCTTATCGGGTTCCTGTTACGTAATAACACCTTGAACGCATTATTCGGGTTCACATGGCGACGTTATCAACAGGTGTTGGACGATAGATGATGACGGACTCCGATTCGTTCTGTGGGGCGTTCCGTTTTGTGGCCCCATCATTTGTTTGCTACATTTTGGCAAGTGCTCAGCCACCCTCTGAGCCAACCGATGGTTAGTCTTGCCTATGTAAACATCACCGCAACTGCCGGTGAACTGATAAACCACATGAGAGGCCGAACTAGCCGAAAGGTAGCTCTGACGGTCTTGGAGAACCAGTTTCCGGGTAAAGTGCATTGGGCGCAACTGGGTAGTCGTGTATATGCGATTTAGGGCGGACCTGAGCTTGTATCCGATATCATTTGCCACATGGTCCCCCTTGAACGGCAGGACCAAACAGACATTTTTTATCTGCCGTTTGCACCGGCAGTTTCTTCTTGGGGGTCTGCTGGACACTTGGATGAACTTTTCGGGATAACCATTCAATACTAAGGTCCTAAACAGTAACTTTTCTTCAGCTTCCCCTCAAACTCAAACCATATATTTTCTGTACAGAGTAGAATCATATCTCTCAACTATTCCACAGGGAGGCCCAAATGCATGTTTTTTCTCAGAATGAAATAACACAAATCGTTAACTGTTTCGTGAAGGGACACGTTTGTGAATAGTGAGTCCACGTCTATAGAGTACATGAACTCAGAGCCCAGTGAGGATTGTCCCAGCGTCCTCGCCAGTTCAAATGACTCTTTCAGGCAGTGCGTTGTCAGGAGTTTATGCACTGGATCTAGGAGTTTCACCAGCCACCGAGCAACGTTGTGATAGGGTGAGTTGTTCATTTGCATACTCGGACGCAGTGGGTTGCCTGCTTTGTGCAATTTGGGCTCGCCTCTTATTCTTGGTGTGCGTTCCAGTCGGTTTCAGCTGCCTGTACTGCGATTGGTGTGCCAATATTTTCCCATGTATATATTTGTGTCTTTGTCTCTGCTTGTATTGTGTTTGCGATTGATGAGAACAATCGAAATTTTAACATATCGTAATCTATGTTTTTTTTCTGTTGCATATGTGCTTGTCCAGTCAAGAGGTCAATACACGTGTCGGCTAGGCACCTGTTGTTTTTCAATGCCCTTATTGCCTATGGAAACGGCCGAATATTGTCCCCTCAGTCAGGGCTAAAGTGTATACACTACATTGTGGCTATTGTTACTGCCCGGATCAGGCACATGACCACAGGCACTTACAGATGGATACTTAATTATTGATATTGGTTGTCGCTTCCTGTAATCCATTGGTTACGACTGATATGAACATTGGGTGCTTGATGCTGTAATTCAACGATTGGGATATGCAATGAGCCTTTGAGAACAACTGAACTGTCTCTTTTATTGGAGCACTAGAGTTTTCGGTGTCATTTCTTTCTTATTTTCACCGACCACATACCTCGGCCTTTTGAGTACTGGACTTTCTCGGGTGTATCTTCGAAGTAGCCGATTGTTGAAGCTACATGGGGACATAAAGGATCCGATTGAGGTGTTGATTTAAGTTGGGGCTCATTCTACGTTTGCCTGGGAGCTGGAAATCGATCAGATCAGTGATCCCGAGACCCGTTTATTTGTAGTAAAATGGTGTGGTCAGCAGCATTTTCTCGTTCGGCTCTACTTCTAACTCTTAACCACCCCATGTGGGGATTATAGCTGTTACGCAATTCCATGCTTATCGTGTTCTTTTCATTGACTTAACTCTCACGTTTCACTGCTTACTCCAACTATCTCCAATAAACTTTGATGCACAAACATTGATCAGTTTAGCTGAAGATTAATTGCTCACAAGTGTCATCCTCCTGCAACCCGCTGCTCGTAATTGTAGAATTTTTACGGGCTTCCTGATTTCTGCGCTCTTAGTGCGTTTGCAGCCAGGGGATGGAACGTAACCACGTACTTAACTGCTCGCAGATTCACTTTAAATCGTGCTTTTCCTCTGCGTATACACCATTATCACCTATCGTGCTTGGCGATTTTAATGCCGTATGGATCCCTATCTACCGCATTTCCATGTGTCATTCTGAATCCACATGAATATGCAGCGAATTCTAATTGCGGGGAAACTACAGGCACATCGTGTCAAACGACGCCAGCTGGTCTACTTCTATGCCTGTTCTCTTTTGCCTGTTACATGTTCGACAACTCCTCGTCCATACCGTATAAGGGACTGAGATTCACTGTAACGGTTTTTTACAGCTTTTTTCTCCCCACTTCGTGATCGCGTCTTATTCTTGGCCTTAACACTAAGGTTGGTTCATCACTGAGATTGGCCTCCATACCCATCGGACCATGCTATAAATATGATGCTTAAATCCCACCCTCGTACTCAAGCGGAACCATCGGTATCCACTTTGTCGCCGTTCGCCATCATTTTCTGTTCATTTGCCGATCATTGTTTTTTCGTTCTTCTGATGGCCACCATATAAGTGCACCGAGCGCATCGCTGTTTGACACACTGCTTACCAGCTGTTTCGAGATACCATTCCGATTCCTTCGAGTTCGTTTACCTAACCACGTCATTTTGGTCTTCCTTACAATTACTCTTGCTCAGCACTTCCACCGCGATCAAAGCGATTTCACCGTAATTTCAAGGTATAATTACCAGTCATCAAATCTGCACTCTAATTATCAAGGGTTCAATTCGTACACGCTGATAACGTTCCCTTCAGATACCATTGCCCAGTTAATTGGTACCCTAAGCTTCATTAACTTTTTATCATCTATGCATGTGAGTGCTTCTCTATGGGGTTTTTTGCACTATTCCCGTTTGCTTTGACATTCACTTTGTGAACGGTTGCTATTGGTCTCATTAGCTTGTCTGCTAATCGGCTTATTCGTAGCTGTGCACTCATTCCTTGGCGAGGATTCCTTTTCATCCGACATGTGCAATCAACTATTTGCTTAGCAGCTCCCAAACCCGAACAAGGTTCCATGACCTTCAGTTACGGGACAATTTCGGTGGGCAGTTCTCAAGTGAACGAGTAGAACAGTATCATTATCTCTTCACATCTTCGTCAGTGTGTACTCTGGACAACTCTCACCCCGAGAAACAGCTTCGGATTTTAGGATATATACCGCATTCAATTGTGTCTCAGAAGCGGCTTTTTTATTATTGGATTAACAAACATCGTTGCTCTTATCTGCGACCACCCTTTGACTTATGCTTGGTAGCTGACAATCCTGCTCTCCACTTTTCACTCTCGAAGTGCCTGGCTTTTCTTCGAGATTCTTTGGTCTTTGCGTCTTTACTAAATCGTGCTGCTGTATACCCAGCTGTATACACAGTTTTACTAACGCTAGCACTTGCAATTGACTCCGCAGCATATATGGTGCATTTTCCTCCTGCTTTCGTCGTTTCAATTCATTTCAGCCCAGTGTAGTTATACAGTTGTACCCTGGTCGTCGATGCGAAGTAGATCCGATTGTGACGCTTGTGTTGCCATGGTACCTTTAGTGAACAGTGCAGAGAAATGGTTTGGACTCCTAATGGAATATGGCGAAGAGGTATTATATTTATGCATTTACTCACAAGTCTGAGAACAGACAAATGTTCCAACAGAATGTAAAAGTGTTTATTCAGCATACAAAGGAAAACGGTATGTTTTATAGTTTTGATTTTTTCATTGAAAACTGAAATTTACATTAAAAGGAAGTGTCAGAACAACATTGACGCCACTGATTTCGATTGCGAGCCATAGCCTTCAAAACTTCCGACCATTTGGACTCCACATCATATGGTCCCCAACATGAAAGACGGACAAATGCTGCGGATAGCAAACATGGGGTGATATTTTTATGTTCCTTTTCCACGTCATCGCTTGTCTGCCTCAGGCATTTTTTTCACTCAAACTCAGGAGTTGCGCATAAGTCTCGGTGAGGAAGTCGATTGGCTGGCATGCGCAATGCACGACCGAGCCAGCGTAATCGGCGTTGTAGGACAATACCATGGAGGCTAGAATATTTCACCCCGAGTA